TACCCACTGGTTTGGACTCCTGGGTTGTAATGCTGGCTCTTGGTCACTGACACACGTGGGCAGAAGCTCCATCCTGATGTCACCTGTCTTCACGACACATTACTCTCCTCTGCCATCCAGCCTGCCTCCTGGTTAAGTCTAGGTAGGGACACAGCAAAGAATGTCTTCTCCTCCAGAAGAGTTTTTCCCTCTGGCATCTTCTGCCCCCAAGAGGAATTGGTCCCTACTTGGGACATTGACAGGGTTTTTAAAAAAACTTTAGTGCTGTAATCTGTCTGCCTTGTTATCTCCCACGGAGTGCTGTGAACCATTTAGAGCAGAGACGGTGTCACGCATAGGTTTCTTCTGTATCTGCACAGGGTTTGTCACATAGTAGGTCCTCAGTGGGTAGTTGTTGACCAGCTGAAGGAGTGACTGAATAATGAATGCATGACAAGGTCCCTGATGACGTCATAACTCTTGCTTCTTGATTCTAGTCAGTAGCTAATCGTCTGCATGCAATTGACACGCTCCTTCCCCCTCCATCCATCCTTAAGTGGGTAGACTGTGGTAGGCACGAGCATCCACTGAATGCCTGCTGAGCCAGGCAGGAGGCTAGGGTGTAAAGAGGCTGAGGGACAGGCAGCAGAGAGTGCTGGAGACTGCCACACAGGGATACGTGCTCACACCCACAGTGTCTCTGAACACTGCGTTGACGGGGCCCCTGGGTGACTCAGCTGCTTGAGTGTCTGCCCTCGGCTCAGGTCACGATCCCAGAGCCCTGTGTCTGGCTGCTTGCTCAACAAGGAACCTGCTTCTTCCTCTCCTTCTGTCACTCCCTCTGCTGCTCCCCCTGCTTTGTGCTCTCTTATTCTTGCTCTCTGTCAAATAAACAAATAAATAAAATCTTTAAAAATAATAATAAACACTGAATTGAACAAGTGACATGGCTGCCTTTTGATGTTTAGAAGAACCTATTTTTCTGTTCTGCTTTCCCACCTTCTGGTTCACACTTTGCAACTCCTCAGGGGCAGTGCGGTTTGACAGATTAAACAACAGATGAGCCGAAGATCTTTTCCAGAGGCAGAGCTGTTGATAACAAGTCTGCCAGTTGCCTCTGGACCTGTCTACATGGTACAAAGCTGCTAGTCAACAGGCAAGGTCCAGCCACTGCTTGGGACAGCAGACTAGAAGCCTGGACACATTCCCACCCTAGAAGTTTTATGATGCTGTGGAGTCAGTCAGGAAAGTCACGTGGGGGGTCCCTCGTGACCATTAGCCAGTCGGGGTGTGGCCTCTGCTGTGCTCCAGAAGGTGGTCTGCCTTGCACAGTTTGCCCCAAATCAGCTCGGAGCCGAGTCAGCAGAGCGGGTGAGCATGGAGGGCTGTGAAGGGCATGCGGCGAGCCAGGGAAGAGATTGGTCCAGGAGGACCCTATCCTGAATGGCGGTGGGGACGGGGCCGAGAGCTGGATCTGTCTAGTTTGGTGGAAGCAGGTCTGCAACCACCATTGGGCTTTTCTATTTCAGAGCCAGGCACTTCTTGTTTTCTTAGTCTCCCCAGCAGCCCTGTGTGACAGGGGGCCAGCCTCATTTTACAGGTGGGGAATCTGGGGCTCCAAGAGGACACCTGACCTCCCTGATGTCACCCAGTCGGCACCTGACAGGACCCTCATTTGAACCCACATCTGTGAAGCCTGTGCTCTGTCACCTATGTCATGTGTCCTCCGCAGCCAGGGGGTTGCCATGGGGACTCTGCACACTTTCCCTAGTGACACTAGTGCCAGCAGCCACTCTGTCTAGGTTCTTCAGGGAGTCAATTAAGGACAAAATAAGAATTCGAGTTTTATAAATCTGAGTCACTTCTAGATGTTTGGAGTACTCATGGGATCCCCAGTAGTCTTTTTTTTTTTTTTTTAAGATTTTATTTATTTATCTGACAGATCACAAGTAGTTAGAGCAGCAGGCAGCGAGAGGGGGAAGCAGACTCTCCACCGAGCAGAGAACCTGATGCGGGGCTCGATCCCAGGACCCTGAGATCACGACCCGAGCTGAAGGCAGAGGCCCAACCCACTGAGCCACCCAGGCACCCCAGGATCCCCAGTAGTCTCAAATAACCTTATTCATCAGACATTCCCCGTAGACTCCATCTACCCTTCGAGGGTGACGTTCTTCATGGTGCAACTTCTGGAGGTGACATCCCACAGGGGAGAGAGTGGGAAGGAAAGGTTTTGGCCTTTGGCCAGCCTCCAGGTCTGCATGGGAATCTCTGCTTGGGAGAGGGTCTTACACTTTCCCTCACTTCCCAGAGGAAGAAGAGATGGGGAGTTGGAGGGCGGCAGGCAGGAGCAGGGCCCTCAGCTCCCTTTTGTGCCTCCCACTTTTGGCCTGGGCTGCTCTGAGGGGCTGGTGTCCCTGAAGGTCCTTGCCCATCCTACCTGGGGCTGGTCTCAGGTAGGATGGGCAAGGGGGCTCAGAGCTGCAGGTGCTGCATTCCTGCCCCACAGACACCCTCCTCCTTTCCCCAGTGGCTGGCTGTGTCCTCTTTTTATTTGTGTACACTAAGAAACTGGTCTTTCCTGCCGACAAGGACACTGAGGCTCCTGGGGCTTGTGCTTTCTTGAGCATAAGGCTAGACTTCGCTCAGTGGTGGACACACAGCCTCTGAATTGTTCTTCCTGGCTGACTCTCAAGCACGCATGTCTAGTTAGGTCTTATCTGTGTCTTGCACGGTGGGGGTGGGGTTGGTAGTGATGGAGAAGAGAGGGACAAGGGGACAAGGACCGGGGACAAGGATGTGGAATAGTCAGCTGTCCCCCTGCTGGTAGCTGCGTGGTGCCCCTTGTCAAAGGAGTTCCTGGTGAGGGTCTGTCCCAGCACGGGAATGTGCACCATGGGCCTGTGTCCATAGCCCACCCAGCTACCAAGTCTGTAAGGCCACTCCGCTGGTACTCAGAACCCTTTAATTCCTCTCCTCTGTGCCTTGCCGATGGCCCTGCCTTGGTTCTAGCTCATTCCATCTCCTCCTAATGGCCCTTCCTCTCTGCATTCCCTCCTGCTTGCAAATACCTCAGGCTCTTCATCGTCCTTAGGATAAACTTCCAGCATCTAATGATAGTCTGGACACCCCAGATGGAATTCTCTGCTTTCCCTTTGTCCCCTGATCCTGCTGTCCAGTTGCTGGGAATTCTCCTCACTCAAGTCTTCTGCCTGGCCTTGATTGCTCCCTTCTTCACCCTCCGCCCCACACAGGCACACGTACACACACACGCGTGCACACACACACACGCACACACACACACACACACACACACACACACACATCTACACATGCTTGTACTTATGCACACACATCCCTTCTCCAGCTGGAACTCTCCTCTAACTCAACTCAAGCATCAGGTCATCTTTTCCCATCCTTCTCTGGGCACATCCCTCTGTTTCTGCCCCAGTGCTCACACCACAGTGCCTCTCAGCCCGCAAGGACCACATTGGTTCATGTCTGAGCCTCAGAACCTAGCGCTGTCTGACCATTGCCTACTGCAGGGATGGGTGAGTGAGTGAATGAACCAGCCCATGGATGCTGCCTCTGAAATGGAAGTGAAAGATTTGGCCGACGGCAAGGTAAGGGTTCTGGCTGGCCCTGGGACTGCTGTCCCCAGAGCCCCGTGCCAGAGAACCTCTGACCACCAGCCTTGCTCCTGGTGGGCCTGGCACTCACAGACTTGGCTATGGGGGAGGCGTGGGGAGGGGTTTCTCACCTTGCCAGGAGAATCAGATAAGAAGGAAGCTTTACAGAGAGATAAGCCTCTTAGACCTGGGCCATCTGTTCCATCTGAGTCACAGCTCCAGAGCACGGGCTCATTGTGGGCAGAAGCTCAGCCCTGGGGGAGGGCAGGGAAGGCAGGGACTTCCTGAAGCTAGTCCGTCTGTGTGCCAGCCCCTTTGTGGGCCCTTTACATCCATTTGTATGTGGGAGCCTCCTGTCAGCCCTCCGAATGGGTCCTGGGTTCTGCAGTTTACAGAAAAAGGAACTGACTTGCCCGGGTCGCAAAGAAAATCCTGGACAGGACTGGGATTTGAGTCCTGTTGTGTCAGACCAAGACCTTTGCCATTGTTAGTAGTGCCACTCCCCCTTCTCAGAGTTAGATTTTGCTGTGATGAAGGGGTGGCCTGCAGGAGAGGCTTCGGGGCATGGGTCTCCTCTAGCAGAAAGCTGTGGCCCAGGCCTCATTGTTGACTTTCTCAAACTGGGATGTGCCATGGGTTTTATGCATTTATTTATTATTTGTGAGCTTTGGTGTTCTTTCCAGCAGACTCACATCAGGAAGTTAGGAAGGGTTTCCTCCAGGGGCCATCGGGTGTGGGACGGATAGAGGCTATGCGTATCTCAGGACGACGGAGCCTCTGCAGACTTGGCCTCTGCTCTTGCGGGCCTGTTACCCTGCACCCTAGCAGGCTCTAAAGTGTCTGGATCTGCAGCTGCCCCACGTCTCAGTGGAATCTTGACCATCCACACTGGAGGGGTCAGGTGGGGACTCAGACCAGGTGGGCTGGACCTGAATAGCTCTTAAAGTTGGTGGCACAACTGGGACTGGCCTCTGGGAATTCCAGAACTTTCTCAGGGCCCTTCCTGCCCAAGGTGAATCCCTCCAACCTCCCAGCTCACTGCTATGAAGGTTGAAAAGGGTAGTGAAACCCACTGATGCCGGTGACTGAAGGGTCTTCCCTGGAGGGTTTTTTTTTCTCTCTGAACTTTACTTCCCTGAAGCCAGCATGAACCCAGAGAAGCTAACTTACTTGTTCAAGGTCCCACAGCAAGACAGGCATTCCAGAGTTTTGACCTTAGTATTCATGTTGTGGTTTTCAGAAAATTCTGGTTCAGGTTTTTCTAAAAGGCATTATGAGTACAGTCCAACACGGCAGGCAAGAAATGTTGTGTCTTTAAGAGAAGAGGTTCGTGGTTCAGGGGCAGAAACTTTCATGGGCCAAAGCTCTTGACATCTTTGCCATCAGCCCCAGCTTCAAAAGGAGCATCCTGGGAGAACCCGAGACTTCTGGATGTCTCGGGCACTGGGCATGAGGGTCTCAGCAGCATGCAGCCTTGTCTGGGGAGCATTACACTTGTGGAAGAGCCCCAGGTACCACCCAAAGCCGGGACTCTGGCTTGAAGTTACACAGTCTGCAGATCCTCACACGGCGCCCTGGGAAGGTGATGGTGCAGACAAGACAAGAGCCAGAGAGGCAGGCAGAATTGGGGTGGAGAAAGGAGACAACACAAGTAAGGTTCATTTCTAAGCACAAAGAGTTTTTAAAAATCAAGGCAAGAAGCTTATCTCCTTCCCGGAGGCCCAGAAGGGATCTTTCATGGCCAATATGACTGGTTCAGTTTATTTTAGTAGCATCAGCAAGAAATCTGATTTACCGGCAGAAGATGGAGGGAAGGCGGCTTATGAGCTAAACTGGCTCCGTCAAGAGCACAGTCCACCGTAGCTGACAAGTCTGGGAGGCGTGGTTCTGATGGCCGCAGTAGGAGGGAGCACCTACATGTCCTCGCAGGCCCTTGGACCTCTCGGGATCTCTCCTCCCAGAGAGCATGTTGCAGGCAACGTGTGTCTCAAAGCTGTGTTTGCATCTTGACAGACCCGTTCCACTTATGGGAGGAATAATGCACAAGAAAAAGCCCCGCAGGCATCAAACTGTTCTTTATAGTTTGGTTTTGAATACCAGAAAAAAATTTCTGAAAACAAGCTGAATATTGTGTGGTGGAGAAACAGTATGTTAGTAGTGGTATCTTACAATGGCACATGGCTAGTGGTGATAAAACCCTGTGATTATGAAGACTAGGTAGTAACAGGAAGAAAAATGCTCATGATGTAATGTTCATTTTAACATGAAAAAAATGAGATACAATAAAAATGAAACATGGTTGCATTAAGATAAAAACAAAAGAAATGAATGAGAAGAGTTACTAAGTTGCTGTGATGGGATTATTCTTTTTTTTTTTTTTCCTCCTTCAGTTTCCAGATTGTTACTATGTGCAAAGTGGTGTGAGAGTTGAAAACAGAATCTGGAACCAGAGGGTTTGGTTTCAAAGCCCTAGCTTTACCACCTACTTACTAGCTAGGTGACCGTCAACCAAGGACTCAACCTCTCTATGCTTTGGCCCCTCATCTGTAAATGTGGGGACAGTAATAGCATCTAACTCTTAAAATTATTGTGAGTTAGCAGATGTAAATGCTATACAATAATTGCTATATAGCTACTGACTATAAAAAAATAAATTTAATTATCATAATTTATTCATGGCCTCATATCTTAACCATAAATCTGTGCTAGTATTGGTGTGGTTTTCTTTGTATTTTTTTTTCCTTATTTGAAAGTGCTTTCATCTTCCAAATGTGATTGTCACAGTATTATACAGTGTGAAATTATCTTTTTTCTATTAATATCATGTTGCGAGGATTTTTCACCAGCATTTCTGATGGAGGACCATGATTCCTGAACCCTGTTTCCACCCCCTGTCCACCTCCTTCAGATCCCCAAGACTCTCTTCTCTGGTTCCTACAATAAATACAGTGGTTGACTTATTGCAAATATAGTTGCAATTCTCCACCCTGTTTTGACAATGTGATTTTGTATCTTCTCCACCAAGATATGGAATCTATTTCTCTGCTCCTTCAAGCTGGGCTGCCCTGGTGACTTGCTTTGACCAAATGAATGCAGCAGAGATAAAGCTGGGCCAGTTTTGAGGCCTCAAGAAGCCTGGGGTGCCCTCATTCACATAGGTGAAACCCTGCAGCTTCTGTGAACAAGTTGGAGCTAGCCTGTTGGAGGACAAGAGACCATGTGGAACAGGGTCCGGGTGCCCGACTGAGACCATCCCACATTTGCAGACCACCAACCCCCAAACATGTAAGAGGGCCCAGCCAACATCACCATAGCTGAAGAACTGCTCAGCTGACCTGTAGATTCGTGGAAAATACAAAATACATGTTGCTTTGGGCCACTGAAGTTGGGAATTTTTTAAAAAGATTTTATTTATTTAAGAGAGAGATAGGGAGAGAGAGCATAAGCAGAGGGTGGGGGCAGAGGGAGAGGGAGAAGCAGGCTCCTCACTGAGCAGGGAACCCGATGCAGTACTCGATCTCAAGACCCTGAGATCATGACCTAGCTTGCCCCAGGAGTGTTTTGTTATGTAGCTATGGCTCATAAGTATAATCCCAAGGAAGCAGGCTACTGCTATGAGAGCTTCTGATCGACTGACCCACTGGACAGGATAGACAGGGCACCCTCTTCACCTCCTCCCTTCCAGGGTCCATGGTACTGGCCCTGTGTCCACCCAGGTGTCACCCAAAGTCTCCAAAACCCTCAAGTCATCACACTCGTGGTCCTCAGTGGGTAATCTCTGTCTCTGCAGTTTGGGCCCCTTCCCAAAGATAAGGACAACCCCATAGTAGGGGAGAATTTCTCTGGGCCCATCCCACCCTGTCTCCTTACTGTAGGTCAAGTAATTTTGCTAGTCTTCAAAACAGGGAAGGTGGAATGGAACTCTTGGGTCCCAGGCAGTCTGTGGGAGGGGCAGGTACATGCTCATGCTCCAGGGGTCTTCCAGAAAGACTTCCTAGCCTTCCCCCCAGAGCTTTCTCATCAACAGCCTCAGGACACGTGGATGGAAAGTGACCTGATAGAGGCCCCAGGTGGGGCCTAAACAGCTGTCATTCTGCCCCTGCCTCACCCTGATGTCCCTCAAACTCCAACAGAGTTCACAAATTGAACGCTCCATCAAAAAAAAAAAATGCTGCCATGATATGCTGCCATACAGATTTATACACAACTTTTCAAATAATTTGAAAGAGCTTTTTTTTTTCTTTTTTTAGCAAACTGGTAAATGCAGTAAATTTAGCAAATTGGCCATTCATTCAGCCCATCGATTTTGGGTGTTGGTTTTGTGGAACTGACCCAGAGTCCTGTGCCTGCCACTTTCAGTAACTCCCACAGGCCTAGCACTGCATTTGCATATGAAGCAAGGCCCTGGAAAGATGTTTGAAGAGTGGTGTGTATCGTTGCTGGTGGTGTCAGCTCAGGGACATCCTCTAGGCACACTCAGTTATTTTCTCCTCGGACAGACAGGTGTACAGACACTCATATGTCAGGGAACAGGAGTAGAGAGGCCAAATTTCCCTGAGCTTGGCTCCCCTAGTCCCTCTGCTGTTGACTGGGCAGCATTGTGTAAGCCCCAGGGTCGAGCCTGGAAAATGGCGGGTGGAACCACCTTAGGCTTTGGTTTTCAGTGTGGAAATCGCTGGCCGCCTTCTTCAGGTGCCCTGACAAGGCTCCGACTTCCTCCACAGCAACAGTAGGATGTGTTGATGGGGTACTCGGTGACAGGCTAACACCTGCCTTTATAGTCACGACCTCACTGACTCCTTTCCCAAGTCTGGCATGGTAGATTCTAGTATCATACCCTTTCACAGGTGAGGAGACTGAGGCTTAGCAGAGCTGGGTGACATGCTCAAGAGCACACAGCTAGCAGGTGGTGGAGCTGGGATTCCAGCCCAGAAGGTGCTCTGCTTTGGGGCAATCTGAGGTCTTGGGCATGGACATGTCTTCTGGAGCTCACTGCAGGAAAGCTGCTCTCTATGGAGGAGGCAATTTGTTGCAGTGTAAAGAGGTGGATACACACGGGTTCCTGGCTCTGCCTCAGATTCTTTCTGAGTCTCAGTTTCCCAATCTGTAAAAGGGGGACAATGATTCCCTGGGGGTGGTTCTGAGGATTTAAATGAGATTATATAATAGGGACCTTTACACTCTTTATGTTCGAAGTTGTTTGCAAGTTTCTGCAATTGAATTAAAAAATATATTTTTAATTAAAAATTAAATTAAAAAATATGTAATTTTACACCCGAATGTTTATAGCAGCAATGTCTACAATAGCCAAACTATGGAAAGAACCTAGATGTCCATCAACAGACAAATGGATAAAGAAGATGTGGTATATATACACAATGGAATACTATGCAGCCATCAAAAGAAATGAAATCTTGCCATTTGCGACGACGTGGATGGAACTAGAGGGTATCATGCTAAGCGAAATAAGTCAATCGGAGAAAGACAACTATCATATGATCTCCCTGATATGAGGGAGAGGAGATGCAACATGGTGGGTTAAGGGGGTAGGAGAAGAGTAAATGAAACAAGATGGGATTGGGAGGGAGACAAACCATAAGTGACTCTTAATCTCACAAAACAAACTGAGGGTTGATGGGGGGAGGGGGGTTTGGAGAGGGGGGGTGGGGCTATGGACATTGGGGAGGGTATGTGCTATGGTGAGTGCTGTGAAGTGTGTAAACCTGGCGATTCACAGACCTGTACTCCTGGGGATAAAAATATATTTTATGTTTAATAAAAATTAAATTTAATAAAAAATATATATATAATTTTATATATGTGTGTGTGTGTGTGTATATATATATATATATATATATACAGAGAGAGAGAGAGAGAGAGAGAGAGAGAAATCCAGAGTCAACATGGAAGTTATGCACCTAGATTATTCTAAAGTGTTGAGTCACTAACAAAACAGCTGCCCTTGTACTGTGCACAAGGAGTTAACCTGGCTGTTTCTCCTAGGAACTGTGTGTTTGTGTGTGTGCACGTTTGCGTGTCCGTGTGTGTGTGCACATCCTTAACTTCTTTTTACAGCCTGTGAGTACATCCTGGGGAGGGGTTTGGGGATGAGCTCACTCAGCAGGGAAGGACTCTACCTCTCTATTCCCTAGGGTTTTGCCTTATTTATTTCATGGAAACACTCCTCCTCCTCCTCCTCCTCCTCCTCTTCCTCCTTCTCCTCTTCCTCCTCCACCACCACCACCACCACCACCACCACCACCACCACCACCACCACTGGCTGGGGCCTCAGCAGGGAGCGGAGCCACAGTCTGTCAGTCAGTGACTTACTCTCACCTCTCCTTGGCGGGTGCTTCACACTTGGGTCCAGTGTGTGAGTACTGGTTATTTTTATCCCGCCCCAAATTCATGTGATGCCAGTTTGGAAGGAAGGGCTGTCAGCTTCTCCAGAGAAGTGGCCTGATACTAAGCTATCCTGTCTCCCTCCCTTCTTCTCCTTCACACCCAAGCTCCCCTGGCACAGGACTCTCAGTAGTTGGCTGGGGGTGGGTTGGAGGCTCTGACTCCGGTCATGGGCTCCCTGGGCCATGGCCCCAGGGGAACCTGCAGGAATGGGGCCTGCTCAGACCCCTGGGAGGGACTTTAGGCTACAGAGAGTAGGGGGCAGGAGCCCTGGATTAGTGTCAGGTCTGTGGCTCAAGGTTCTGCTGCTTTCCCCTGTGCACTCTGCCTGCCCCGGGCCATGGGGCCCTTCTACTGAAGGCCAGTGGAAGTCTAGTGGTGCTAACTGCACGCTGGGACCAGGCAACCACCATGCATGCACCAGCAGGCACCCAGCCTAGGCCAGTACTGGAAACTGGGGGTCTGCAGGCCCCCTTGGGCTTGTCTCCTTCAGCATCCAGTGCCCCCCTGCCAGGCCTTGTGGGTGAGGGCAGTCTTGTTCCTCAAGACATCACCCTGGCATGGAACCCAGCTCTGCACTTCCAGCCTGTACCTTGGGACTCTCTGAACCTGTGAATCCCATTCCCCTACTGATCGCCTTTCTTCATGTGCCAACTCATGAGGTCAGCTTTGCCTTGGGTGGTAGCTTCTATGGACACCCCCTGATTCACCAGCCTCTCTTCTGTCTTCCATGGCCCCTTCTTGCCCGTCTCAGGCCCCCATGCCTGCTGCTTCCTCTGCCTGAACACTCCCCTCCACATTCCTCCTTCTGACTCCTTGCCTTTCTTCAGGTCTCAAATGTGGCCTCTTCTGATGTCACCCACCCAGGGTAGGGGTTGTTCCTGGTATCATTTCAAATTGCATTCTGTTCTTTCTCTTGACAGAAGGTATTTGGTTCAAAATGATTACTTCTTTGACTTTTATTGGTGGGGAGGGTATGGTTCTCTGCATTAGACAGGAAGTTCCATGAGGCCAGGGTCACATCTGCTGTGGCCCCTCCATGTCAGGCACAGCTGGGGGCTGACCCACATGTACCACTTGTCCCATGGCCTCCCCAGAAGCTCTTCTTAACCATCTGGACAGGGCGCGGTGCTTACCTTTCCGGGTCGTCAGGGCAGGGTTAGGAACTCGGGAACAGCACAGTCTGCGTTTCCAGGGCCTGCTGAGATGACTAGAATTTTTTCTCCCTGAGGGTGGACACAGAGGGGCAGAGACCCTTCCTTAGGGGACACCATGGGATTGGGATCTGTGAAGGAATGACTTGAATATGCCTCCACTCCCAAGGTACAGGGGTCAGGAGTATTTATTCAAGGAAAATCAGGATGGGCCAGGCTATGGGAGGGCCGAGGGGGGAAGGGTAGGCCTGGGGGTGATTTTTTTTTTTCCCCAGAAAGAACAAAATCCGTGTGGGCAGCTACTGTCTTCCTCACGCTCCTGTCCAAAAAACAACACTATAGCTCAAAGTGTCTATGCCTGTTAACTCAGTATTCTCCCTTTGGCCATCTAGCCTAAGAAAATAATCTTAAATACAAGACATGTTTGATATTACAGATATGCTTTTTACCACATGCGTAAAACAGTGCAACGTTGTGAACCATCTAAATGTTGAAGCATGAAATTCATCATAACACATTCACTGGATGGCATGTTATACCTCCAAATATTACTTAAATAACACATGTTGGAGCCTATGCCAGTGATACTCCTAAATGGACCAGAGAATTTATGGGGAAAGGACATCTTCAACGAGCTGTCATTGAGGTAACAGTGGCAGTCTCTCACATGGCCCCAAATCCGAGGTCTGGTAGACTGCATTGCTTTGGACTGTGCTGACGAGCAATTCTAATCACTGTTTCCCATATTACATATGCAGCAACGTTCATGGCAAAAACTTTAGAAAACCAATACTTCTTATGATCCTAAAGCTCAGAGACGATGGCTGTTGATATTCTGGTGTAAATGCTTCCAGAATAATTTCAATCATAAGTATCTTTGGTGATTATAATAATACAGTGATAACAAAAGAGATACAGCATTGAACATATAGAGATATATCAATTTCAAGAAAGAAAATGCTTGCCTGCAATATTAAAAAGAAATAAAAGGTTGAACATGGTATTCTTGAGTCATGAAGGTATGGGTGTGTTTTGCCCCATCTCTATACATGTCTGTATCCCCAACTCCAATAAATATTAAAATAACCATAATTGCTAATAATAATAATAATGATAATCATAGTAATAGGCACGGTCTAGTGGAGGCAAGAGAGAGGCAAGAGAAAAAGCTCAAAATAGTTACTTGAAACAAGAAAGGCAGGAGACTAAAATATGCATATCCACAGAGGTGCGAGGAATATCTCCCCTACTTGCAAACACACAAAACATGTCCCCTCACCCCACCCCATGCATCCGGTCTGCTGCGTCTGTTGCACGTGGTTGCTGTGCATGAGATCTGGCGATGTTCGGACTCAGACAGTCCACTCTTCCAACTTCCTGTCCTGAAAGCATGATATGCGTACAGCAGAGTGGCTCCAGCATTTCTAGCTAGGTAGGATTCAGGTGCAAGAATCAGTCTTGCCGGGAAGTTGTGTGCTTGCAGTAATCACATCACTTTCTATATAGCTTGTGTGTGTGTGTGTGTGTGTGTGTGTGTGTTAGGGGAGCTGGGGTTATGGATGTACATCGGGTGGTGCTGCCACTGTGGATAGAGGTGCCACAGATTTCGGAGGGTGAGCCTGTCTTTCCGGGCCCAGGCCTGCCTCCTGGGGGCCTTGCCCTCGGGTGTTACCTGATTCCAACCTCCCCAGGCCCTGCCTTCTGCTCAGGAGCCGGCATCCCAGGAGAGGGCCCTACCTTCTGTGGAGAAGATGGAGAAGCAGAGGAGCAAGATGCAGAGCAGCCTGGAGACAACTAGAAGCCTCATGGCGGGGTGGCCAGAACCTCACGTCCCGGGGAGAGAGCTGTGCTGCAGAGGTCCTCCTGGAGCCGCCTCAGACTTTTATAGGGTGACACAGTAAGGTGTTTCCCAATGGGCAGGGCACCACAGGCAGCCCTGGAATTCTCATAAAGGGTAGAGTCAGCCGCTCCCAAGAGGAAAAAACCAGCTTTTCAAGAATGTGAGAGTATTTAGTGAACTGTAACACGCAGAGCTATAAATGCCCAGCCCTGGGAGCTCCCAGCACCGGCCTCAGTGGTCAGAGTGGGAAACTCCCACCAGGGAAGGGCCACTTTCCAGTGTTGAACGTTAACTTTTACTGTCAGTAATTATCCCATCAAACACATATCTTCCTGATCATTCCTAAGATGAGGCTGGGAGGGCCATAAAACCCTTTGCGAAGCCTCAGGAAGAGTGTCAAGATATCTGTGAAATGTAGGGAGCAGAGATCCTGGAGTCAGATGACCTGGGTTTGAGTTCTTTGCCATCTAACAGCACTGTGACCTTGCACTTGCCATGAAATGCCTCTGAGTCTGCTTCCCATTGGTGAGATGGACACAAGCCTGAATGAGCACAAGTGTGTGAGGGGCCATGTGTGACACGGTGAAGAGCCATGAAGGAGGTGGGGCTGCAGCTGGACCTTGATAGATGTTTAGGATGAAATGAAAAGGCGCTTCGGGTACAGGGTCAGCCTGAGCAAATGTACGGAGGAAGGAAACGTCTTACAAGGGCAGGTATAAGGAAGAGTCCACCATCAACACCTACTAACTGGACATATTCTGTGGGCTAGGATGTGCACAGGGGATGCTGAAGGCTCTGCGCCTGGCCTCAGGGAGCCTCTGTTGGTGGAGACAGCCGTGCAGATACACAGAATTGTGTTTGCCCTTGTGGTAATGTCCTAATGTCCTTCTAACCATCTCTCTGGTTTCCAGCTTCCAAGGGCACATGGGAAGAAGCCAGTATCCGGTTCCATTACCAGGGATCTTGCTGGTTCCTGGCAACCAATGCACACATTCCCTGCTGTCAGAGACTGGCCAGTGGGGAGCCTCACTGGCTCTCCTCTCTGGCTAGAGATTAGAGATATGATTTAAACCCCATGCTCAGATAGCTTGGTGAGCAAATTGGTAGCTGGGGATGTTTTTGAAAGTCAACTCTTACACATTTGCAGAAAGTGTAAAAGCAATCCACACAAAGCAACTGGCTGGGCCACTGGGCTTAAGGACCATATATCTTATCATGGGAGTCACCTGTCCAGCCCCTGCCTGATTCCCTGTCCAGGCTGTGTTCTGAGCAGGCAGTGGCCGTGGCAGAGGGTGTGGTCGGGAAGACGCCCCAGAGCCGACCAGGGACAACTCCGGAGTTGGAGCCTAGGAGAGACTTCCAAGCAGCCCGTGTTGGAAAGAGGGCTGGGAGCAGTGTGGGATGGATCCTGAGGCTGCACTTGCCAGCCAGCACCCTGTTCTCACTTAGATTGAACATTACAGACCCATAAGCTCCACACAGTTTCCTAAAGACGTTGTTTCCTGACATTAGAATCGCATCCGTGGTCCGCATCAAGGACGAGCACCACTATTTTATTTATTTTGATGTGAGGTCATTTGGGGGGGGTGCCCACTGAGTTCTCTGCACAACCACACACCTTTGGGCTGCCATTCCCCCATTATCTGTGGTTGTAACAGGTACTTTTTGCTTTTGGCAGACTATCATCAGAGGAGAAAAGAGCAACTTCCTGCCGAAGGGGGCAGGGATTAGGTCAGACCTTAAAACTAACTCCAGTTGCTGAGCAGTGGTGCAGAAACTAGACTCTCAGGCTAGTAAAGGGGGAGATGTATCTGGACCCAGTGGACTTGGGTAATTTTCCCAGGCCCCTCAGCCCTGCAGCTGTGGAGCCAGAAACAGATGTTAGGTTCTCAACACGGTTTTTTTCTCACCACAGATCACAGATCAGGGCCAGAACTGGCTATCTCCGGGGTTCTTCTGTTCCTTATCCACTCACACGTACAATTCACAGATTTGCAGGTGTTCCGGGAACCGATATGTTTAAACAGAAGAATAGATTCAGATGTCAGAATTCCACCGTGCTTCGTAAATACTTATGAGAACTTACTGAAACAAGCTAGGCCCGCACGAATTTAAATAACACAGGGTATAGAGTTTCGGTTCCATCCAGGTCCCCCACAGGTCCCCCCCATCCCCTTACCCAGAGACACTGTTCACAAATTCTTACCTGCTTTTTTTAACATTTCAAAGATAGCTATCAACTTATTACTTTAAAAAAGGAAGAAACACCTTGGGCTCTTTAGAATATTTGAAATCTCATGTTGAGTTGAGGGAGGTGAAAATGAGAAGCGTTTTAACAGGAACACCTACCTGTTAGTTTTTAAGCTTATGCCGTTTGGGTACAAAAATAATATTTGAGTCTTTGAATTATTTCTAAAGATGATTTTGAACACTTGGAAGCCTTCCTGAGAAAACTCAGAAACACACCTAACGCGAAGGGGAATTTACAAGAAAGGAAGTATTTTCAAGTCAAACTTGTGATTTCTATAGTCAATTAGGAAAATGCCTGAAGCGTCCCCACCCTTTATAGGTAGAGCATTTTTGGCCAGAGTCCCCACACTTTACTCTTCACCTGTGTGACACTTTCTTCCAAAGATGTTTTATGAACCTGCAGTTGATCAGAAATGACTCTCCTGCCTTTATTTGCTTAGCAAACTGCAGACCAGTTTTTATAGTAGGAGGGGCCAGACACTGGAGGGATCCTTCAACTGTCTTATTTAACAACCCCCCGCACCCCCCACCAAGCTCAAGGATACAGATCTTGTATTTCCAGCTTGCAACAGGGAAAAATGAGGTTTTCTTTCATCTCACAAAAAGACTTGTGGTAACTTCTTATCTGGAACCAGGTCTGCCTGACTCCAAAGCTGAGTTTCTTTTCTAACATTGACTCTATGAGAGCTCACAAGTAGTTGAAAATGTTCATCTTACACGCCACCCCCAAATTGTACAATAAACCAATAGCTTCCTCCATGTTTTACAGTTGATCCGAACTTCCTCATAAGCCTCCAGCTCCCTGGGTCTTCCCTGCCTCCTGCTCCTGGAATAAGATGGTAAATCCAGGATCTGTCCCTTTTACTCCTGCCATCACTGGTTTCCTGGGTTCTTACAGATGCTGTGCACCCTCCCTCTGTCCCCTCCCCTGTGCTGTGGACTGTTTACCCCTAGCCATGGCTGTGGGCTACCCCGCCTCACCGCAGTGCGTGCCAGTAGGCCCGGGGCTCCTCCATGGAAATCATGCTGGAAGGTCACCTTTTCCACACCACCAAGGCACCTGGGGACACTAGCAGGCACTGTCTTTTTTTTTATCCTGTAGCCACTTATGTTGGTAGCGGAGTACTTCTGAAGCCACTGTCTGACAGGAATACTCCCTTGGCTGCTTTCCTGTCTCTGTCTCTTGTCTCTGCAGCTCCTGACCCTTTGCCCCCATCACCTCACCCTCACCCCGTGGTTTCAGCCTGCAGTGGGGGGACCAAGGACCCCTGTCTGCAGTTTCTGTCTTCCTCCCTCCCCTACCCCCTAGAGTCACAGGGTCCAGGCTCTAACCAGAGCTTTGCCACATTTTAGCTTGTGTGACCCTGGCCAAATGGCTCAGCCTCTTTTTCAGTAAGAGAGTAGCTGAAGCTCGAGAGAAACATCTTTCTGAGAGGGTAACGCTGAAGTGTCGTGCTATATGAAAACAACTGTTAGACTAGCTGGTCCACTGCCAGGAGAGGGAGGCATAGTTTCCTTCCCTTTGTCAACAGCATCCTATCTCCAAAACATACCTTCCACTTGTGTTCAAGGATGTATGATGCTTCTTTAATGCAGAACAATGGTTGTCTTTTGTTGCATTTCATAGCAGATTTTTAAAAAAGCACACTGAAATTCAGGTCTAAATGACTTAAGAGCAGGCCCATTTATAAATGTGAAGCTGGACAAAGAGGGTAAGGGCCAGGAGAGCAATTGCCAGAGACTTGGGCAGCGAGGGTGCGAGGAATGCCGAAGTCGGTCACTTTTGCCAGCACTTGCGGCTGGGAAGCTGCAGGTAGAGTTGGACGGGTCCTGTTTGCCAGCGTCTGCTCTGTGCTTCGCAGGTTTAGCAGCAGGCTTCCCAGAAGAGAGGTGTCTCCTTCCCAGATTCTCACCCCCACACCCAGCACCACCAGGTCAGCGTGGATGAGCAAGGTGCCGCTGGAGCGCTGCGTCCTGGGGGCAACTTCAGGCCTGTTGTTGCAGACACAGCATGGGCAGAGCTAAGGGGACCTTGAAGGCTCTGGGTCTGGTTCGTCTGAGCAGAGATGTGTCAAAGGCCACAGAGGAGAGAGATGTTCTGCATTCTGGGTCTTTCCACTAAGTTCCTAAAACCTGAAAAACTTCTTTAAAGTGTTCCAATGTTCTTTCCATTAAAAAAAAAAAATTGCTTAGGGGCAGCTGTAATACGTTGACGAAGATACAGAACACCCCAGTTTTCTACCAAATACCCGTTTTTTTCTGCTGCTCAGAACTAACAGTGAAAATCTTGGCATAGTTTCCAACTTCTTTGTAGATGACTCCTCTACTGAAATGCAGTAGTGAGCGATCTCCCTCGTTTCTGAAGCACCCAGTACAGTCAGGGAGACCCATCTGTGAGCACACACAGTCACAAACACATTTGGTTTGCAAGCAGAGAAGGCTGAAGTCTCAGCAAAGCCACGCAGGATTCCTCCCGATGCTGCACACAGGGGCTCCCCAAGCACGCCCCCTTCTCACAGAGGTGAGGAGCCCCCTCCAGCCCTCAGCCCTGTGCTGGGGTGTGTGGACACCTACATTCCTGTGGGCACTCACACAACTGCCCCCTTTCTCCGAACTCGCGGAGCAATTAGCCTGGATATGTTTTTGTAGTTTCTAGAAAATGACTTCACAATTACCTTGGGTCATTATTTGCTATTTCTCATATTTTAACTACATGGTACCTAATAGAGGGCTCAATAAGCATTTGTTGACTTGATTGCTTAGTAAC